TGTAAGTATAATGATGATATATTAGCATATATATATATGCTAATATGTATATGTATGTTAATGTATGTATATGGTCTGTGTGTTACATATATTTATTGTATTTATTGTGTAATATGATGTGAATATATGATGCTTGTAACCTACACACACACACACACACACACACGCGCGCGCCGCGCATATATATAATATTAATATATATATAAATATATATAATATAATACATATATTCATACATAATATTCATATGTAATGCATATGTGTGTGTATTATGTACGCCTTCTATTTTGCTTGTGATCATTTACAGTAGATACATATCACTTAAGCTAAGAAACAAGTCCGCAATGGTTTACCTCGCCGTTATAGAGAGCATAGCCAACTATATTTGTGCAATCTATATTGTTGCGTCATTATGACTAGCCTGTCGGTTTATTTAACCTTGGTACAAAACCTTATCAAAGGGACAAGATAGGTAATGAATATCAACAGAGCATCTTCACCTGTTTTTATTATCATTTCTGGTTTCTGTCAATCACAATATTTTAAAATGTTCCCTCATTCGCCTGCGCTATTTGGCAGCACCACAAGGAATATGTCATATTCTATTTCCCTGTTTATTATGTACGTAAATATCACATAAACTCGTTAATACCTTTGTTTCTGGTTAATCGAATAAATACATTAATAAAGAGATTACTCCATTTGAGTGACTTTATCCATATTTTAGTTACCGCTCAACTAATATTCGTGGGAGTTTTGCAATTACTTAAGTCACTCCTTGAATCTTTGCCTTCTTAATAGAGAACGGTCTGGAGGAGCCTTTGGCTGGAATGGGGAAATTGAGGTAAATTCCGGTTTTCGTCTGTGACTGTGAGGTTCTTCCGCTTCCTCTCCCCTGAAATGGATATAATTTTATTGTTAGTTAGTTATTTAGAGTAAGTTTATAACTAATTTAGGACATGTTTAAGTTAGGAAAATGTTTGTATATGATCTTTGCTAGCTAGATAGTCCTGTGGTTTTATGTGTTGTTTTCGATATTGCAATCATTATTTATCGTAGATTGTATTTGTATAACTATAATGGAGACATTTCTCACGTATCTTGCGTAAATATACAATGGTTTTAACACGCCAATCGTATCATATTGTCTAAACAGAACGTAATGTTCCATGAGAGCCAGATCTTTAGTCAATTTGTGGACATTTTGTTTATCTCTCTCCTTTCCTCCCTGCCTTCTACTTATCTGTTTTACTTACCTTTCGCGATAGATACCTTTTAGAAATCCACTCCTCTCACATATCCCCCTCCTCACCCTCCGCCTACATACCCAAAGCCATCTCCCTCAGTTTGGTCTTGGCCTGCTGCAAAAGGAAGACGTTCTTGTATGTCCCTTCATAAAATACCTCTATTTCGATAGCCTCCTCAGACCCCCCTGAAAGAGAAGAAGACC